TTGGTATGACAGTTTGGACTATACTCCACCACACATAAACAAGGATGCGTATTGGTACAAAACAAAAACGATCAATCTATCCGGATATAGGTAGATAACGTAATTCTAGTCAAAATAATAAAAATACAAATAAACAATCGAAATATTCGGCTAACTAATGTAGACGACGAAGAAAAAGGAAAGAATATAATAATAGGTGGGCTTAGTAGTATTGTCTCCATTCATCAAAAATACAGAGACATATTAAACCGATTTACACGGTTCTGGCGTATTGTCAACTTTCAGGTCTTAGCTACATAGAGCTCTTGTAGAAGAGAAGATCTATAGCGACAATGTTCAGGAGAAAAATGAGAACACATGAGTAAGTCCTCGTTCTATTGTAACAAAGATATCATTTTGAATGTAAATTCATAGTGTAATTCACTCTGTCTTCATAAATTATCGATGTATCTTTATGGTTGCAGTTACGTTGCTATCTTTGGTGTGCTTTTTTCCAACACAGTTTTTTAACATTTCCATGATAGAATCTAAGTGAATGATGAATAGTTGAAAACCAACTTGCCCCCCTTTAAAAAAAGGAGACTGGTTGAATAAAAAAAACGTACTCTATCGAACGGAGAGTCTATAAGGTCTGAGAGAAAGGTTCTCTAGGCTTTAAAATTTTGTATCAGTACACGACCGATGAATAGTATGGCATTTTGGCGTAGAACTATTTCATAGAATATTGGGATAAATAACTTCGGTTGTAATGAGGAATTAATCTGGAGTACGATATTTTTGATTTTGTCAGCATTTTCATAAATTCACAAAAGAAAGTTCATGGAGATAAATATATATGAAAATAAAGGCAATACGTTAAGGAAACATACCCATATCAGGCATAATTTTTAATTGTCTGGGGTACTATTTTTTTGGATTAAGCAACTTATGAATTTCATCAAGCTCTAGACGTAACAATGCTGATTCTCGCTGCTGCGATTCTAATCTCGCTACAACACTTCCCAATTGACTCCTCAGCTCGGTGTTGTTGGTTTGATAAAAAAGAGCTTCTTTTGTGAGCGATAACAATTGCTCATCACGAGTTAATGTCGCGCCGTTGGATTTCTGTGTGGGATGTGAAGGAAGACTAGAAGTGAGAGCAGAGGTGGCTTTACAGTGATCGCCATTAACGATGTGGGTTAAATTCCCAAGAGTTGAAGTTATTGGCTCCGTGTGAGGTATTTGCTTTTCCCGACCGTTCGTTGGAAAATTTATGTCGTCCTTGACGTTATATCGATCGTGTGGAGGGTCCGGTCGAATATTCGGCGAGTGTACCAAGCTTTTGGTCTTCGCCCCGAGGCCATTTTCCGACGAAGATAGAGCGGACGAGCCATTTGTCAGGGTCGTGAGGCGCTGTCGGAGGTCGCGGTTTTCGCTCAAAACCCGCTCCATCTCCGCGATTTGGCGGGTGAAAACGACTTGATCATTGCGCAGCTCATCCTCGAAGACGCGCGAGCGATCCTCGGAGGCTTTTAACTGCTGTTGAAGCGACTCGATCTCGGCCTCCTGCTCGAGACAAAACTGACGGTACATCTCCAGTTCGGTGTGGATGTCGATTTTATCGGAACTGAGGGAGAAGTCCAACGTTTTTTGGGCAGCCTCCTCGAGGGGGTTTTCCCGCTCATTCGCGCTCTCCCGGCGGGTGGCGGAGGATGGGGTGCGAAAGGGCCGCATTTGGGCGTCGTGTAGGGCTTTGTAGTGCGCGACCGGCGTGTTCACCACGCGCACGGCGAGCGCGCAGTACTGCAGCGTTCGCAGCGTCTCCTCACGATTATACCCATCCGGCGCGACGCAGCCTAAAAAAAGCGTCTTTCCTACCCCCCCAAGGGCGTTTTGCAATAATCGCGTGAGTTTACTACTGCGGTATGGAACGTGGCCGTGTGGGCTATTCCGCCCCAGCGCCCGAATCACGTTTCCCAGCGCCAACAACCCGGAGTTAATCGCGATGCTTTCCTTAAAGCGCTGCCCCACATTCAGAGTCTTTTTATTTCGCTCAGATCCCGCCAGGTCGACCAGGTGGAGTTTATTTCCCCCATTTCGATGGTTGTAGATGGTGAAAATGCTATGGCTGCGGCTGGAGTGCTCGTGAATGTTCGTGGCCGCGGTGGCCCGCATTTGTGTCCCATACTGAATGATATTTTCAACGCCCGCGAAGTCTGCCGCGGTGGCTCGCCGTGCGCCGACAACAACGCAATCCCGGCCGCCAATCTCACTCAGGGCCCCTCCATCATACAGGTGGATCTCATTCCCGTCATTTGCAGGGTCCTCACTCAGCAAATCCCGCAAAACGTCGCCGTAGACCTCGATGAACTGAAAAGACAAATCCCGCGTGCTCCCTTGAAAGCCTTCTTCGACAATATAGCGTAGGATTAACGGCATAAGCCCCGACATAGTGAAGGTCTTGCCCGTTCCCGTCTGCCCGTATGCCATCACGGTGGCTTGGAAGCCCTTCAGAAAGTCATCCACAAGATTTCGAACCGCGCCGGAGAAGATATCGGAGGTGGAATCCTCCATCTGGTAGACGCGATCCACCATAAATACGCGGTTTCCTCCAATACTAATGTGAGTTGGATCGACGACGACGGTCACTAAATCAGCATCCTCCGGATCGCTTTCAATAAAAGGACGCACGCGCACAACGACACGAACACGCTCAGTCATTTACCCCTGATTTTATTTTTCTATATAGGTTTTTAATTTAGTCTTTTTCGGCGATGGAAATATACTCCTGCTTTTCTTTTTTATTTTCCAAATCTTTGTCTCTTTCTATATTGTATATAAAGTTAAAAATATAATTTAGCGTTAGTTAATAAAAATGGGGTATATCGTCACCCCCATACTCATCTGCCCAGTTATGGAAGACCTATATTAAAGTAAATAAAAGCGTTTCCTATAATAACAGCCGTGTTTTCGAGACAATCTACCGATTGTTCGTTATTCTTGTGAAAAGGTAATAAATAAAGAAAATTTTGTTCAAGTAAAAGAGAAAGACGAGAGTAAAAGACAAAATTTCTATACAAGTAGAACAATGATCCGCGTCCTTTTCCCCACTTTGCGTCTTACAAAGTGACAAAAATAATATTCTTTCACGACGGGTGAAAGAGCGACTTCACAAGTTTCCGCTTTTTATGTATTTAATAGGTTAATCGTGAATTAGTGTATTCGATTAGCAACCTTAGTACTATCCCATTCTTTGTATTTTATTTTAAAAGAAAAGGGGTATCCATGCACTTTGGCGGCCGTGGTGTCGGCTTTACTATTCGCACCCTCCCTTCCTCCACATGGGCGTTGGGGTTGAGCTCGTGCTTCACACAACGTTCCATCAACCGCAGCAATAACGGTGAGCGCAAGGTTTCCATCTCTTTTTCGTTATTTTCCGCCCGATCCATTTCCTCTGGGTGGTTTCTTTTATTGCCCGCCTTTCTATCCTCCTTCTCGTCCGTATCCGAGCTCCGTTTATGACGTGCCGCGTGGCCTAAAATCTCGCGATGGCTACTTTCATCGCTGTTTTGGGTCGTCCGCAGGAGCTCCGTCTTGAGCGCGTTTCGCTTGGCGTACATCTTAAAATGTTTGCTCCCCGCCGGCGAGGCAGGGAGTTCGCCGCCCGAGTTCTTTTCGACGTCGTCGTCTTCCTCGTCGACGTCGGAGTTGCTCATCGTGATGGCGGTTTTCTTTTTAATGCGATCCAACACGTCGGCAAATCCGACCGATTGCGTATTCCACGTTTCGTGCACCCCCGCCTTGTAGCCGATGCCCGTGGTATCATCCTTCCGGACGGATTTGATGTGCGTGGCGATGCCGTCGTGGTCCCTGCCAAGGCCGCTTCCTTCGATCCAACCCGATTTCTTCAGAAGGGCCTTGCCGAAGTTCTTCTCCGAGGTCGACCACCGCGAGCCATTGGGGTCGGTGCTCATTTCCGTCTGGATGTCGGTTCCCTCACCGGTAGACGATCATGCGTTATATGTTAGAGGAGAAAAACAAAACAAAACAAAAAGACGTGTGGGAAATAGAGTGTGCACGCACAGGGTTGCGAAAGATGTGAATGACATTGGGAACTGACGGTCAGTGGTTTTAAAGATCTTTTTTGGGGGGAAAACACAAGAAAAGGCGGTGTTTTTGTTTAATTGGGTATATTCGAACGGTATTTATTACTTTGACGGTGCAAGATCGGGAATCTCACGCGGCAAGACATCAGAAAAGAAGCCAACTGTACTTTTCTCTAGTTTTTCCTCATCGGAAGTGAATAAATGATAAGGCTCAGGCGGAAGCACTTTTAACTCCTTCAAGAAGTCGATAATATCGGGTGTTGCCTTTATAAGAAAACCGGGAACGATATCCTGAAGAAACTTTAGGAACGTTCGCGCACGATAGTGATCGCCAGCGACAGCGCATGTCCGAAAAAGTCCGGTGATAATCGGCATATCGATTTGATTGTTCGAGTATAAAACACACAAATCCACCAAATTGAAAACACGGCAGTCCCCATAACGGCTAAGTGCCTCAACTAAGGGCCGAATAATTTCTTTTGTTATGATTAAACCCTGATATTTATGTGTGATGACAATATTATAGGCGTCGTTGATGCACTGCATCTGATGCGAATCGCAAAGGGCCTTGATAACGAGTTGATGAGAGGCCTGGATGATCTCTTGCATCTCGTTGTCCGGTGAGGACTGGCTCGAACGCTGAATAAGATCCTCGACGGGAATTTGCTCCTCCCCCTCCTGCTCGTTTTGTTGTCCTTCGTCGTCGAAAAAAATCCCGTCGGATGGACTCATGGCGTAGGATGTGTTGGCACGCGGCCGAAGTTCGATAAGGTGACGTAAAGATGTCAAAATATCGTTGTAGATCGTCTGCTTGCCCTCTTCAAGAAGCTCAAAGTAGTCAAACAGGGCGACTTTTCCGGCGATCAGCTCCGCCTCAAGCCCCAAGGAGGGGGCGCTGCGCTCGACGATGCTCATCGAGTCCCGCAGGAAATCATTCGGCGACTCCGTCTCCACGCGCAGGCAGCGAACCCAGGTTAACAACACATCCTGCCGTAGCTGCTGCTCCCCCTCCTCGGCGATATTTAGCGGATTGTTTTGATTCGCGTTGTACTGCAGTGAAACGTCCACGAAGTCGTACACTTTCGCTAACAAAGACGCCAAAGGAGGCCACGCGCGCATCGCGGAGTGAGCGTTTTTGGGGTCAAATGCCGACCTTTCATAGTGGCGAAGAACTCCCCGTACGGCGACGCTCAGGGTGTCGAACTGTAGGCGTCGTTCGGAGAACGAAACCTCACTAATAAGGTACCCCGGAAAGGAAAGTAGGGAGGAAAAGTCAAATTCAGCCCCTCCACGAAAGGACGACGTGGGATTTCCCTCTGAGGTTACCATCCTATGAATCGTAAAGGCCACCCCACAAAGAGCCAGCCGTGCACCGAGCGCGGAGGTCGAGGAATTCAATTCCTTCTTCACAAAAGATCGCACAAATGCGAGAAGTAAAGAAGTTGGCGGTTGGCTTTCTTTGTTTGGTTTAGGTTTGGCATGTGGTTCCTCATCAAGTCCGAAATTTTGTTGGGAGAGCTCCCCAAGAAGGTGATCCACATCCCAAAGCAAAGCCACGTACTGTGCAACCCACTCTAGTACCAAATGAATACGGATTGTGTTCAGATTGGTCTGAATCACCTCAAAAAGGGATTCGTTCATATGGCTTAGAAGGGTATATACCTTGTCGATTTCGTCACGACTGCCTTCGCCCTGAGGGTTATCCGAGCCACCAAAGGGGTTGACCTTTGGCAGGATTTCTTCCCGAACGTACCGGCAGAACATCTCAAGAAATTGCCGCAGGAGCGTTCCATCCGCGCAGGGCACCCGGGCGCTCAGAGGGACCACGCCTCCCGTCAAAAGCAGCATCTCACGCGAAGGAAAGATAAAATATCCCTGTCCGTCGTCGTCCGGCTCCTTTTCCTTCGCCGAATTCACCATTCCATCGCCGTTTGAGCTGGCGAAATCCTTGTCAACGGTGATTAGTCGATTGGGCGGAAAAGGCCGCTTGGCCGAGGCGGCCTCGGCGCGCAGGGTGGCCTCGGGTTCGCCCGGATAGCAAAGCACCGAGGTGGATTCGACATCCGCGTACATCAACAGCCATTTGGCCATCTGCGGCCATAACTCCCAGAGCGGGGGGGAATAGCCTTTCGCGAGCAAACAGCGAACGACGCTGTAGAGGGTGTCCGTCTCCTTCATGGCAAAACCATGCCGGATGGCGTGGACAACGTCCTCCCAGAGCGCCCGCGTCGATGCCGACGAAGAAGAGGGCGGGCCGCTCCACGACGGCAAGGCCGCGGCCTGGACGGCGAGTTGGCGGGCCCATTGTGAGAGCGTCGTGCGAATAAAGGCGGTATCGCGCAGCAGAGGATTGAATCGAAACATGGGAAGCCCCCAAACTGGAATACCCCCCCTCCTCC